GTTAGTGCCGCCCCTGTTTGTTTGCGATTGCTTATTGGTTGCGGTATGCCACAACTCATTTACAGTTAACCTTCACCAGTGAAGGTATCCCCCTATCCACAACATGGGGACGCGCCCCGTAGCATTCAGTTTTGCTTAACCTGAGGGTATCAAGAATAGTACCCCGAAATCTCATCATTGCGCGGATGAACGTGTCCAGTGATATGCTGACAATATATTCCTTATCCTTAGTACCTAAGACCTGGACCAGATTCTGTGGACGTTCAATCAATCTGAATCTCCACTTTACCATGGAGTTTTAGAGAGCCAATTCACTTCCGTTCCTAGATAGATCTGCTCGTACAATTGGAGTCGGATGTTGGATTCGAAAGAACTGTCTAGGATAAGAATTCGCAGAATCGGTAATGCACCCATTTCCAGTTTCGTGCGAATCCAACGGAAAGGAAATTCAGTGCTTTGTTTAGTCGATAGAGTCCGTCAAATCTGTTCAGCTAACAAGCGCCCAGGTGAAATGCCTCTCTGATGGGGAAACAGCTACCCGGCAGGCTTCATAAATTGATAAATTAGGACGGATTCTCAGTCCTTGTGTTCGATTGTCCCTAGGGAAAGGGTTTATGCGACGACTGATTTTAAAGGAACTACGGAAACACTAACTCATCGACTATCCCATATGTACTTTGTTTTCTCGTGGTACAAATCTCAAGGTGTTGTTACAAATCAAAGGTAACAAACGACTTATTCAGTTTACCTCATTTAGTGTGTACTCTGATTCGTGCTCTTGTGGAGCGGAATAATACGTAGGAAGGACTAGTTGAAGACGGTCAGAGGGGATTTAAGAACACTGGCCAGTTTCGCTATCAACTGGGATCAATAAAGATGCGATTAGAGCCATCTCAGTCAACGCCATCTCAACACGCGTCACAAACATGAAACGTGGGCATCCAAGGTCATCAACCGGATAGCTTATCATCGTTTCAAAGGGGCGAGGTAGAATCTAGTTCTTAGTGCTGTGTCAATACCTTACTGCTGCTCGCCTCCGAAAGCCTCAGTATGGTAGGGGGTGGGGTGGTTTAGGGTTGCGGCATCTCAATCAAACTTTGACCTCCCACCCATCGTTCCAAAGTCAGTTTAAAACAGTTAATCGACTCGCATCCGCTGTACAACCACGTGAAAGAGCCCACGAGGTTTGGGAACTGGGGGACGTCGTCAATGCTGGATCTGGTATTAACCAACAAAGAGCTTATGGTCGAATCCATCGATTTCTCGCCCGCCATAGGACGCAGTGACAATGCAGTATTACCGTTTAAATATGTCTGCTAAGCTTCGATAGAAAGGACAGCAGACATGAGAATAAAGATGGTTTAAAACGACCGCAAACACGTTTAAGTACATCGACGTGTTTGAGTGCTGTTGATGACGCCCTAGAACATTTAATAGAACAGCTCAGGTCTTCGTGGACTGTAACACTCAAGTACTTCTTTGTTGATGTATGAAGCAGTAATTCATTTCCGAGGAAATAAGGAAACTGCCCGTAGTGGGGCAACGAAATCACCTTGCATATGGAGACGTTAAATTGGATGTCGTTCTCAACAGACCATTTGGGAGCTGCATTCAGTGTTTCTTAAAGTTCCAGCGAACCTCGACTTTATGTCACTGTCTTCCAGATTTTGACGTCGTCTGCAAACAATGTTTGTGGTCCTAGGACATTCGGTAGGT